CAAATGGGACGCGTTTCCTAACATCAAGGAGGGTGGAGGCGCGCAGTTGTACGGACGAGCAGAGGACAGTTAGTCGAACTTGTCCTACTCGCGCGTGTAGAACAGGTAGCTCGTCCCTATAAATAGGGGCACGAATTCTCACTTTAGGGATACAATCTCTCATACTCTTACATTTTTCCACACACTTATTTTACCTCTCAAGATCTGACTTGAGCGTTGGAGGGTCTTCACCGGAAAACACCTCCGGTGTGGGAGCCGGTCGGAGTGCGAGACTTGTATTAATGTTGTATAAGGAACCGATAATATAATGTTTTGTTTAACGACGTCACACTAAATACATTATTTCCAATGTCAATAACATGATAAATTGCAAAGTCATACAAAAAGTAAATTTCACGATGGTGATGATAGGCTGGGATGACTCCTCCTCCTACCCTTTTTCAACTACTACATGACCTCAAGCTAGTCACGATTGTTTGATCGAGAAGGAGAGATAGCAGATTTGGAGTGGATGGTCGTTTGTTTATGGAAAAATCCAGTCGGAACCATGACTTTAAGATAACATTTGAGATTTCCGATTTAATGTTAAATAGGTCATATTATTACAAATTTCCATGTCATTTTTAATCACTTCAAGACGGTGGTTCGGCTTCAGTTCTTTTCAATATTGATCTTGTGTTGGTTTGTGTATAGGGACATCATGATGATGATATAATATTGTTATTTATGATAAACTATGAGGTTCATGTTGCATCACATTGAATTTATAAAATTAATGGTCATACTAACAACTCATTTATTTATTATATTATATAATTATTTTTAAATAATATCTTTTCGCGTGGTGGTCGTATCGTAATAATAGATAAATAGATGGATGGATTATGGAATACAAATAATGCTCTCATACTCACGGTGGACACATGTTAATATGTCCACTGCTTATATGGCATGCATACATTAGTGAGGTAATAAATCACCATTGTGTACATGTCACATAAGCCGTGAGCATATTAATATGTGTCGATTATGAGTAGGGGAATATTATTACATGGAATACTACCAACGATGAGTAGATGATATTTATAATTTCCACGATTTATGCATGGATAAGGATCAAAATGATGGAGTTAGTCAAGATTGATTTTAGGTAAGTCTTTATACGTAATTAGTATTCGACCCTATGCATTGGCACAAATGTAAATAAATTTAAATATTATAAATTATTTTTATGCATATAATACAAAAATTATAAGTTAAATAATAGTACTCTTTGAAACATATAGTATTATATGTTATAGTTATTCATATAATATAAAAATTATAACTTAGAAAATAGTATTATATTTTAAAATTTTATCATTGGTCAAAATAATTAGTACATACGATTTGATTGCATACGAATCACTATTGTAATAAATATATAATTTTCATAATTTAAGTGATCATGAACAATTAATTAGAAATATATTAAATTTATTATAACAATTGCTTATGCAATTTTAAGAAATTTTACTATATCATAAAAAAAAAATTATTAAAAAAAATCGCTTAATCGTATAAAAAACAAATTGATTTTCGTGTAAAATATAATTTTATGTAACTTTCATATATCATTTAATGTAAAATTATAATTACTAATTATAATTTTAACTGTTATATGATTCAATAAAAACCATAAATATTACTCAATTAACATAAAATATAATAGTTTTTGTCTTAATTAACCTAAAAACGTGTAAAGAAATATTTTTTTATTAATGAGATAAGGTGTATTAATGCCACAGAAGTAAAATTTATTAGGTTCTATTTATTAGGTTTTATTTATTGATTTGTAACATAAGTAAAATGTATTAGGTTTTATTTATTAGGTAAAATTTATTTCTGAGCTAGCAATTATATATGCTAGTATTCGACCCTGTGCATTTGCACACTGTAAATAGAATATTAAAACTTACATTTATGCATATAGTATTAAAACTATAAGTTATACAATGATATTATATTTTAGACATAGAGTATTATAAGTTATATTTATGCATATAATAATAAAAATATAAATTAGATAATAATGATACAATGTTTTAAAATTTAATCATTGGTTAAAATAAATAGTACATAACTATTTGATTGCATATGAACCGCAATATTAATTACATAAAATATAATAAATAATAAAATTTTGAGAGATTGCCAATTTATTAGCTTAAAAATATTAAATGTATTATAACATTTCATTATGTGATTTGAAGGAATTTTACTATAAGATTAAAATATATTAACTTATTTAAAAATAGAATCGCTAAATAAGATAAAAATTTTAATATTAATTTTAGAAAAAATATCTTCAACAAAAATTTTACAATAATTTTTATGTTTATGTAACTTTCATATATCATTTAGTTTAACCTATAGTTATTAGTTTTAATAATAACTATATATAATATAATAAAAAGTGTTTTTATTACTTCGTTAATATAAAAGTTAACGGTTTTTGTCTCAATTAACCCTAAAAAAGTGCAATGAAATAGTTTAGCATTAATTAGATATGGTGGAATAATTATAATAATAATAATGATAATAATAATAATAATAATAATAATAATAATAATAATAATAATAATAGAAGAAGATTGTAACATATAAAGATGGTAAACAATAATTAATATTATTAAATTTATTATTAATAAATATATATATATATATATAGAGAGAGAGAGAGATAAATGATAAAGTTTGTAACGATTTTTGGAAGGAAATTAAAATGAGGTTTTATTAAATGTTTTATTAAATATTATTAGCCAGCAATTATATATATATATAGATACACTGTTTGAATTATCTTCTTATCTTGAAAAAGTTATTACACAAATATATTGAGATTATTTCATGGCTAATTCTAGTCACCCTCAATATGGCAAATCCTACTACTCACATGAAAACAAATATCGTGTATTAATTGAAATACCATTAGTGATGCAGAAAAAATAAACACAATTAAAGCAAAATGTGTATCCCTAATAAGACGGACATAAACTTATGTAAAAATATCTATTTTTACCCCATTTTGAAGTCTTGATAAGTTTTTCACATCACCCAATAAAAAGCTAAGTTTTTCACCCTAAAAAGTGCGAAGGTTATGCGAAAATTGTCGCATATTCATCGCATAACTGTCCATATGCGAATGATATGCAAAAAACTGTCGCATAACTGTCGCATATCAATTGCATAATTGTGCAAAGGCATTGTGCGATAAATATGCGACAGTTATGCAATTGATATGCGACAGTTATGCGAAAGTTTTTCGCATAACCTTCGCATATGGACAGTTATGCGATGAATATGCGACAGTTTTCGCATAACCTTCGTACTTTCTGGGGTGAAAAACTTCACTTTTTATTGGGCGGTGTGAAAAACTTAATGTGTCTTTGTTATGGGGTGAAAAATATTTTTTTCCCTAAACTTATTATATCAGTAGTACTACTGTGGGCAGTTTTTCACGCGCCTCCTTCACCCCAAGCAAGAAAATTTGGAGAGTGTAGTGCACATTTCTATTTTTTATTTTTTTAATTGAAAAATGAGACATATTACATAAATTAAAATATTATTAATTATTTATATTAAAAAAAATAAAATAATAATACCAAAATTTTAATTTTTCATTATCTATAAATAGAGACCACATTTGATAGGTTTTTTAACACAACTAATTTTTCATTTTTTCGTAATTATTTTATTATACTGACATATAATGAACATGTAACATAATAAAATGAATATTATGTAACATGTTCATCTTATTCTATAACATGTTCCTTTTATTACGTAACATGTTCACTTTATTGTGTATGTAATATGTTCATCTTATTCTATAACATGTTCATTTTATTATGTAACATGTTCATCTTATTTTATAACATGTTCATTTTATTATGTAACACGTTCATCTTATTTTAGAACATGTTCATCTAAATTTCATCTGTGAAAATGTAACATTTTCATCTTATTCAATGACATGTTCATCTTACTCTATAACATGTTCATTTTACTATGTAACATATTCATTTAATTATAGATTTATGTCATAATCTTTTAATTGTGTTCCAAAAAATATCAAATGTGGTCTCTATTTGTAGAATATGAAAAATTATGAATTTTTGTATTTTTATTTTTATTTTTTGATATAAAATATCAATGATAATTTATATACAAATATATATGAATTTCATTACCCAATAGAAATAGGACACATGTCCCATTTAAAAAAAAAATGTCTTACTTCTTTACCTCACTTACTTCACGCGCTTTTTAGGGGGCTGTATTTTACTAAAAGGCCCTGACACACTTAGCAAGGTGTGTCAGGGCACACCTAAATATTTGCGCTTACTAAATACATCCAAACATGAAATCAATATATCCAAATTTCTGAGAAATGCTATGATCCTGTTACGAAACTATTCCATCGGAGTTTGTAACGTTAGATCAACTATTCACGACTGTCACATGATGATCTAACGATTATATATAAAACCCGATGGAATGATTCCGTAACGGACTGTAACATTTCACCATCAATTAATCCTCAAATTGCCGATATTTTAGCTCTCTTATTCTTATTTTCTTTCTTTTGTTTCTATCTCTTTCAATCGCCAATCCATCACAACCACAAAATCATGCTAAAATCCAGTCAAATATTACTAAATGTTATCCAATCCGCTAATTATCCGTAGACTAAAATGGCATGTTGCAGTATAAAAGAGGTCATGTCATGAACAACTTTCATTAGGCTCTTTGTTAATATATATGGAAGGGAAGAATAAAGGACAAAGATTTTTTTCAGATTTATTTCTATACATAATTTTTGTCCCACTTCTCATCTAAATATATGTAAAAAAAATATTACAAAATAAAATTTAAAAAAAAAAATAAAAAATTCACATTTTTGTGCATATAATTTTCTTGGTAATCATTTTTTAGAATTCCTTTTCAAAAATAAAAAAATGGGGAGTAATCAGATCGAAAGCTACAACTCTAAGATGACAGCTTATGTCTTCGCCTGTTGGATTCTTGCTGCCTTTGGTGGCCTCATGTTTGGTTATGACATTGGAATTTCAGGCGGTGTGACGTCCATGGACGATTTCTTGATAAAGTTCTTCCCGAACGTGCACGAGCGCAAAATGCACGCGTACGAAGACAACTACTGTAAATACGACGATCACATGCTGCAGCTGTTCACTTCATCTCTGTACTTGGCGGCACTCGTCGCCAGTTTTTT